CTTTTTCCTTCTCGTTTTCTAACCCTAATTCGCCTAAATTTGATTCTTTTACTCAATTTTTCTTTAGATTCAGATTCCCAATACATGTACACAAGAATCTAATCAAACACAACTCTAAAATCGACACGATTTCCTTAAGAACCCATCAATCTCATCTTAACTCAAGAACAAAAGCCAATTTCAAGAACACAATTGATGAACATCAAACCTTCAACTTTCTAGAACGAATTTAATGTTGAAATTAACATGATTGGCCGTGGGTGAACGAACGCATCGCTATGTGAACTCACATACCTCTTAGAGATTAACCCTTGGCGAAATCCGCAAGCAAAATCTCAAGAACGGGACAAAACCTTGGCTCTTCTCCTCTTTTCTCCTCTCTCAAAGCCCTAGCGTTAATTTGGAATGCGTAAACTAAAACAATTCAGTCTAGACCTCTAATTAATTGCTAAAAATGAATTAACTTAATTGGATAATGAAAAGATCAAAATACCCTTCTTAAATCCAGGTGACTTTCCTTATTCGGACATCCCGACTTCAAACGGGCATATCTCCCTTATACAAGCTTGAAAATTAGCAAACTTAGTGGAGTTGGAAAGAGAATTCCAAGACCTTTCATTTGATACCTGTAGACCACTTAAATCATTGAGTACTAAGAGTTATGGTCGTTTGAAGTTGACCCAAAACTCATATTTAGCATATCTTGCCAAAAAATTTCAGATTTGCTATTTCCAAATTTGATTCATTCTATTTTTAGCTCTTTCAAATAGCGAGGTGTTACAATTGGGTAAAGATTTTGACATAATTTTATGGTGGGAAAGAGCCCTACGTTGGGGAAGATGATCATATTTTTGCCTAGGGGTAGGATTTGTTGATATTCTAGGTAAATTATAGGCCATTAATGATTGATTGTTATTTATGTTGTTTGTTTTAGGCCAAGAACAAGTCAAGGCACTTCGCAAGGAGAAAGTTTAGGTTATTTAGAGTTTTCAAGAGGCTTGATTGGACGTAGATGATGATTGTATGTTTTCAACTTATGTATGTATACATGTCTACTACTTTGTAGTATCATATGTGAAATACATGGTAGGGAGACATATGAAATGACATCATATAGCATAAGCAGTTTGACTTGCTTGGGGATATCAAAATGACCCTTGTTTTCAGGCCTTGGAGTTTAAATTTATGCGGTTGGGTATCTTTGAGAAGCGTGAGGTGTTAGTTAGTATTGAGGTCAATCTCACCTTCATAGATAAAATCAAAACCAAGCATTTAAAGGATGAGGAGTTGGCCAAAATCAAATGTAAGGTGGTGTCTGGGAGACCCAAGAGACCACACTCGATGTCAATGGTATGCTCAAGTTTAGAGAGAGGATTTGTGCTCCTCGGATTGGTGACTTAATTCAGAATGTGTTGGCAAAGGTTCATGGTTTAAGTTATTCTATTCATCCGAGTGTGACCAAGATGTATAGGGATTTAAGGCTACTTTATTGGTGGTTCGTGATGAAGAAAGACATTGCAGAGTATGTTTCCAAGTACTAGATTTGTCAATTGATAAAATATGACCATCAAAGACCTGCGTGTTTTCTTCAGAGAATGCCCATTTTGAAATGGAAATGAGAAAGAATAGCCATGAATTTTATAGTGGGACTACCCAAATCATCTTATTTCTTGCTTCAACTGAGTGTTATGTCAGATTGTACATCCACAAGATTGTCAGACTTAATGTAGTTTCTTTATCCATTATTTCAAATATGGATGCTCAGTTTACCGTTCAAATTTAAAAGTCATTTAATTTCAGAAAGGATTGAATTCGAAGGTGAACATTAGTATCAGTTTTCACATGTAGTCAGATGGTTAGGCAGAGCATACAATTAAGATTCTAAAGGGTATGGTAATATCTTGTGTTACTGATAATATTAGGGTGATCATTTTCCTCTCATTGAGTTCGTCTGTAATAACTGCTATCACTCAACACTAAAATCACTCTTTTTATGAGGTTGTTTATGGGCGGAAGTGTAGATCCTCGGATGATTGTTTAAAAATTGGTAAAGTAGAACTTATAGAGCCAGACTTTAAAAAATTAAAGACAGTTTAGAAAAGGTTAAGGACTAGATGTCAAAAGTCATATACTAATGTTAGCAACAGAGATTTAGATTTTGAAGTGGATGTTTGAGTTTACTTGAAGAATTCACCCATGAAGGGTGTCATGAAATTTGTAAAAGAAAAGCTTAGTCCCCGTTTATATTGGTATGTATTGAGTTTTGAAGAGATTTGGCAAAGTAGATTATGAGTTAAAGCTACAAACAAAGTTAGTAGAAGTTCATCTAGTGTTTTACATTTCCATGTTTGAGAAGTGCGTGGGTGACAATTTACTCATCATGCCTACAAAATATGTTAGGTTGAAAGATAGCTTGTCTTACGAAGTGGTTCTAACTAAGATTCTTGATCGGCAAGTTTGAAAGTTCAAAACCAAAGAGATAGTGTCAATAAAGATATTGTTGAGAAATCAGTTTGTTGAAGAGGCTACGCGAAAAGACAAAGAAGATATAAAGGTTTGAGACCTGAAGCTTTTCACACCTTTCGATAAAGATGTTGAAGGTAATAACCTTCTTTTATTTTAGATTCAACACCTTTATTTTGTATTTGACTGTTTTAGTTCCTACATTTATGTTCATGTCTTGTGTCTCCTTATAAGTGATTATGATCTTGATAGTAATTTCAGTTTAGAATAGATAGCTTGGCTTTCTTTTTCAGTTTGTTCTACTCTAGTTTGACTTCACCAAGGGGATGTATGATCTCAAGGAGGAGATATTGTAACACTTCAAATTTAGAATCTGTAGAACCTGTATTTTGTTATCACTTAGAAGGATTTTGAACTATTTCTAGATATTTATAAAAAACTTAACGATTTTTAAACAAGGTGATGGTCTGTGAAGTTACCCATAGGAACCACTAGAGAGTTGTCAAATTTCAAAGAAAAAGAAAGGAAGAAAGAGCGGGATAGAGACAACAACAACAACAACAACAACAATAATAATAATAATAATACATAGTATTACTATACATAGTAATAGTCAAAAAAATTATTAAAAACAATATTATTTATTAAAAAGTTCTATTAATTTAACAAAATAATTTATGGGCCTTAATAACAAAATGAAAAGGAGAAAAAATAACTTAATATCAAATTAATACTAAATTAATAGTGCTTACTGAAAAAATGAAAAGAATTTTATGAACTTTATTTTTAGTATAAAACTTTAATTTTTTTTAAAACTAAACAGGCCATAGTAACATACTCTAAATATTATTTTAACAAGACAAATTGTAGACTTTGATAACAAAATGAAAAGATGAAAAATTTATTCGTATAAGTTTTTTTTTAAAACTAAACAGGCCATAGTAACATACTCTAAATATTATTATAACAAGACAAATTGTAGACTTTAATAACAAAATGAAAAGATGAAAAACTTATTCGTATAAGATTAATACTAAATTAACAGTACCTGGCAGAAAAAATGAAAAAAGAATCTTATGAACTATATTTTAATATCAAACTTTAAAAAAATTAAAATTAGGTAGGGTGAATTTACGTGGGGTGGATCTATGTGGGCTGAAGCAAGTTGAAAATAGAAATATTTGTTATGCGGGATAGGATGGATTGGAGTCTTTATGCGGATTTTTCCTCGCAAACTCCGTTGTTATTACTGTCAGTTGCTATCAAACCTTTCAAGTCAATTATTATAATTATATATATCCACTATTACTATCATTGTCACCTTAGTCACTACTATCAGTCACTATCACCACTACGTTCAATCACTACTACCAACCATCTCCATCGTTACAACTAGCATCATCGTCAATTAGCACCAACATGTCGTTCATTAACACCGACATATCATCAATTACTACCATCAGTTACTAATATCAACTAACTTCATCATCACAATCATAAACACCGCTATCAGCTATAATCATCATCGCGTCGATCAATACAACACCAGCCATCTTCACCATCACAACTATCACCACCACCATTACTAATCACTAACACCAGCCATTATCCTCACCACTATCACTGAATATAATTTTGTTTAAAAAAATAGGCCCAAACAGGACGGTTAATTACCCGATTTCCAAACCAAACAGAGAAGCCTTGAAACCACAAACCTCTTATCTAGAGGCGGATCTAGAATTTGGATGTCGTGGTGCCACATCGTCCAAGTAAGATAAACGAGTCGGTTCCTTCAATTTTAGGTTACAACTCGGGCTATTTATCTTTTTCGATTTTTATAAATAAATTGATCAAACATGCATGTTAGTAATATTTTCTTTTAGATATTCTGATGTTAGAAATAACTAAACAAATCAATGTTTTATTTTAAGAAATTAGAGGCCTTAATCTCTAAAGCTTTGTGAAAAAAAGGGACTTTCCACATTAAAATTTTGAACTTCTATGAACCATCTAATAGTGTTAATTTAATATATTCATATTTTATGTGTTGTTATAGATATATAATAGAAAAAGAAAAAAATTATAGTTTCAACCCAACATTTTGCTTAGATCTCTAACCTAATAATATTCAGTAACCCGCACTAAGCAAGCTCGGTGAAACGAGCTCAATTCAGAAGGCAAATTTTTTGCTTTTGCTGATAAGGGAAAGTCCTAAGCCCAATCCACTGCGCCATCCAAGGATAATAATATTCATCATTTTTACCGGGAAGAGAGATGGCTATGGAGGTTGCACCATCTTTTCCGACTTGGGAAGAAATTGAGCTTTCAGAAAAGTACCTTTTTTTTTGGGCTAATTACCCAGCAAAGAATTTTCTCTTTTGGGTTTAATCTTGATTCACTAAGCAACAATTTGGTCAAAATTGTTTCTCAATTGTCATGTTCAATTTTGCAGTTATCTGGTGTGTTGTATGTTCCAAGAAGCAGCAGCTTTGTCTTCCTCAATTATTAAGCAATTAGTTGACAAAAATGCTAACACTAATGAACACAATTGCGAATTGGGTGATATGTTGGAATCAGCTGCAATGATTTTGGTGCAGTCCTACAAAGCGTTGGGGAGGTACTTGTTTATGCTACTTCCATTCATTCATGTATTACCTGCATTTTCTTATTCTATTACATAGAATTTTAAGAATATTGTTGGCCTGAGTTTTAGGGTTAAATGACAGTCTTACTTGAGCATTGAGAGTTGAGAGTTGAGAGTTGCTTCATTATTAGCTATTACAAACTGTACTGACAGAGGAATTGGTTGGTTTTGAACTGGGTTGAATTGATAGTCTCGGTGTGTTTGGTAGAAAGGAAAATGCTTTTCAGGAAAATAAGTGTTTCTTTTTACTTATTTTCTTGTGTTCGGTACGTAAGCAAGAAATATTATACCAAAAGCATTTGTATATAACACTATCACTATGGGAGGTGGGGTGGTGTGTAATGAACCCATATTGTATTGAAATGGATAATTGGGATTACACATACAAATATAAGAGTTCATCGTTATAATTACTCCAAACTAGTAACTAATCTTCCAAGGGGAAGAAGAAGAAATAAAAAGGAAGACGGGAGGGAGGTTCCAGGATTAATCTAAGCAACTAAGAAATAAAAGACAACTTCATAACATAACCCCTAATTGAGTATTTCCCTTTTCTATATATAGGAATCTTCCCGGGGTCCCAAATGTAATTTGACATCTTCTCACATGGGTCCTCCATCTTAGTTATATTCATAACAATTCTTCCCTCCTCAATAAGAACCCTGTCCTCAAGGTTCGAGCATAGTCGTAATGAGACCACATTGTTGTCATGTTCCTCTTTTAAGTGTTAACAACCCGAAGGAATTCTTTAAACACTTCATTAACCAAAGCAACTTTCAACAACGATCCATCATTTTGCTAATTAAACCAGAGGATGCATCCATGTCTAACAAGATTAACATCAAGGAGTTGCTTGGAAGATGGCAGAACGAAATGACCGACATTGAACATCTTATGGAACTTTGATCTGAGAGCATTGAGAATTGTTGGATCCAACTCCACTGAAACATTATGAATTGATGGCATTGGCACCTGTAAGATCTCTGTAGTCCAAAAAGCTCTCCAAGGGACAACCACTTTCTCAACCGACTTGAATCAAATCCTTCCGGCACCCAACCCAAAACCAACTTCCAGTAGCTTACATTCATTAGAGGATACCTCTTCTAAAGATGTAACCAACACTACATATTTCTTCCCAATTTCGGAAACATCCAACAAACACTTGATCGTGTGTTGATAGCAAGACCATATCTTTAGTCCATTGGGAGCCCCATCAGCTAGCAACAGATCCAACACTGCAGAACAAGATGTCAGTAAATTTTCTAAAATAAACTCTTGAACAAGAGCATTGGCAGACTGTGGTGGTGTAAGAGCACGACAATGGTGACTCAAAAAATTTGGTACACACCCCAGTTTTGTCATGTCTCTAAGAAGTGAACTAACAGAATCTACCTCATTGACTACACATTTTGCATGTATCACTTGAGCAAAAGTGAATGCAGAAGGAGAATTACCTTTCCCTAGCATTTCATAGAACACATATGGAGCAATTCTTGGCCAATATCTAGCCAAAATAATTTTCAACGTGTTATGTGTCCCTTCCTTTTTGTTATTTGCTGCCTACAACTCACTTTTGACAAAATCAGCAGATGCTCAAATTTGTGAAAAGATTGCTTCTTGTAGCATTTTCATAATTTCCATCAGCTCACTGATTGCAACAATTATTTTGTCGATGTCCTCAATAGTTGGTGCCTTCTGTGTGACTTCCCGTGCAGCTGCTGTAGTTCCCAAATCATCAATAATCGTGTTTGATATGGTGTTTGCGCCCTCTAACAGTAACATTGAATCATGAAGAGGCAAATGGAAATTTTCAAGCTGGTCGACTTGCTGTTCATAGAGCATTTGCTTTCGTAAATAAGGTATTGTAGCTCTTCTGTTTTGTTCACCAAGAAAATCTTTCGCTCTTTCAACCTCAGGAGCAATCTTTGTAAATAACACTGCCTTTTTTACAAGCACGTCAAGCATCACTCCATCTTGGATCCAGCAGTGATCAAACTTGGGAATTTGAAATTTGAGATTAAATTGCTCGAACCAACCAGGTGTCAAGCTAACCTTGTCATCAGAAAAGATGTGGCTGCTCCTTTTTAAAATGGTTGTAACGGGATATCCTAATGTTATTAACCCATAAAAGAGTCGAATACAACTCGCAAAGATGATCCATAAGACAACAACTGAGCAGTCATCAACCCATTCAACAATTGAGTGACCGTTAGACAACTGAAGGTGGTTAAGACCAGTAGGTGGAGCTGGTCCAAAAACACTACTGTACCATTTCTCAGATTGAGGGTCATCATTCAGAACATCACAGACAAAGCTTACACCAGAGTTCATGTTTACACCAGCTCTTTGATTTATATCGTTGCTGCAAGACCAGTTGGGGTTCCCCAGTCCAAATACTGTTCTTGCAATTGGTTTGTCACAAAAATATGCAATATTGGTCAGCAGAGAAGACAATAAGCCCAAGCCAATTGCCACTTCGCAAAACACCTGTTGTTAGATTGATTTCGATATCAGATTTATACACAAATCAAAAGGCACCTCATCTATGGTATTTAGCTGCTCCAACAACCCAAGCACAGTAAAGCTATTGTCTCCATGGGAGGAAGCAACTGTAGTGTATGGTTTCCAGGACAAGTTGAAGTTGGAAAAATAGAAGTACTGGATGAAGTCATATGCATCAATATACTTCTCTAATGCACTGGAAGAAACAGCCCTGACAGCATGGTTTGCAGATATGCGAAGATATTCAATATGCGTAATACTTCTAATATCTTTACACATGTCACAGAGGAAAATGACATCATGTGTGACATATACACCGGGATCAAATGGAAGTTGTAAGCATTTAATCTTATGGACCAATGTGATTCTATCCATAATATGAATGACACTCTCAGATTCAGTGTACAGTCTAGTTGAGTCAAGATTAAAAGAGTATGCATATTTGTACCTGCCCAACATATCAACAAACATCTTGTGTGCAGTGGTCAGTGAGGATACTTCACATACATCTGAAGCATCGTTAACACTCAGAAGTGGAAAGCCATTCGAACAACCAATAAGCAGAACTCGGTTGACTGAATACACACCTGAGTTTACCTTATCAAAGAAACCCCATAAACCTGCCCAGTATCAAACCAATTGCAAATGTGTAAACCCAAAGCATGTGGAAGCGAACCAATAGTTGTATGAGGGCCAAGAAAGTCTGCAAAAATATCCCTCTTCAGCACTATATCCAACACCTTGCAGTCAAACTCCATGTCAAGCTTATGTTGTAGCCTTTAACTGGAAGAGTCAGTTCCTTAACTGAGAAGGACAATAGAAAATTCAAGCTCGGTAGTGTCAATAGAAGCACTGAACAGAACAGAGGGAGAGATGTTCTTTTGTATTGTATATCCTACATCAAGAATAGGAAGTTGAGAATCCAAATGTGATTTTACGATATCAGCAATCTCGGTGTCATTATCATTGTAAGCTGACTCTAGCACAGAGGTGATAGTTGTAGAATCTGAAATCTCTGGAGTATCAGTGTAAGTGGAGTCCTATTGCATCTCCTCCTGCAGCAGTGACGGCACATGGCAAATCGAAGAGAGCATACGCTTGTTGTTTGCTTGTAGCTCCCTCATTGATTCTTGCAGCAACTTCATCGATTCAAAGATGGTGTTGAATTGAGCATCAAGCATGGCAGAAGGGTTAAGAGGCATGGAGTACGAACAATGATAGCATTAATGTAATGAACCCATATTGTATTGAAAATTTGAAATGGATAATTGGGATTACACATACAAATATAAGAGTTCATCGTTATACTTGCTCCAAAATAGTAACAAATCTTCCAAGGGAAGAAGAAGAAATAAAAAGGAAGAAGGGAGGGAAGTTCCAGAATTGATCTAAGCAACTAAGAAATGAAAGACAACTCCATAACATAAACCCTAATTGAGTATTTCCCTCTTCTATATATAGGAATCTTCCCGGGGTCACTAAATGTAATTTGACATCTTCTCACATGGGTCCTCCATCTTAGTTATATTCATAACATGGTGGGGTCGGGGGATTCAAGGGTGGGGGTGAAGATGAGGTGTGTTGGGGGTGGGAGGACACAACTATTGTGGAATGCCACTCGTGAACTTGTTTTCCCTTCTTCTACTAGGGAAGTCATTTTCCCTCATTTTTAAGGAACTTGTTTTCCTCGAGAAAATGCTTTTCAAAAGTTTTGACCAACCAAACATGGGAAAACTGGAAAAAAAATGTTTTCCTTCTACTAAACACACTTGTTGAACATTGTTAGTAGATGGATATTAATTTTCAGTATTCTGATATTGCTTGGATGAATGGTTACCTCTGAAATGCCTTATATAGAGTGGCTCTGATGTATGCGTATTATTGGTCAGACTTGTGAACTGCTTTCTCACTTTTTACTGTTTCTTGATGTGGTAATCCTGCTGCTTTCTTTCGTAGAAAAAAATGCTTTGAGTGTCCTTTAATTCTGACACTAATATGGTTTGTATGTTTGACAGGACATCAGAAATACTGAAACAGCTGAAAGTGCTATTTGGTTCAGTCACTGCTATTCCTGCCCAAGTTTTCCTTACTGGGTACCTTATTTCTTGGACATGCTATTTCCGTAATAGTTGCACATCTTCATTTAGAACATATAATCATCCACATGAATTTGATATTTCTCACCTTTGTGGTCTAGTGAGATGATTTCTTTTCCTCTTTATAAGGTTGATGTCTGGTGTTAGAATACAACTTTAATTACCATCCTCAATTTTATTCTGCAATTCCTTTATCATTCACCTTTTTTGTACTGGTTTCTATAACTTGAATTGTTTGAATGGCATAAAATGTAAGAATGCTTTTAAAAATTGAGAGACACTCTTTGCTTTGACATGTTTCTTTTGGTTTTGAGATCCTGAATCTGAAATCATGTACTCCCTAATATCTCATGTATCCAAAGTAAACGAAAAAAAGTTCATGATCCCTCTCCCGAGCTTGAAATGTTCTTATCATTGCAAGGTTGCTCCTCATAACTACCTTTTCCTTCAACATTTTTAGAAAGCTCCCTTCTTTGATATGGAAATGACCCTAAACTTCTTCTCCAGGGTGTGTCTCCAGATACCAGATGGCCCTTCTGCTGAAGTTAAAGAAATTCTAGAGGAGTTCCTTATGAAGTGGAGATATGTTGATGGAAAGTATTATACTATTGCAAACATGGAAGCTGATGTATCTTACATGGAAGAATTTAGCAATCAGATTTCCCTTCGAGTGGATAAGTACCTGGAAATTATTGAGCTCTATGTGATTACCTTTTTGGGGAGGATTCTAGGAAATTTTGATCTTGCTATCTCTTGGGTTGAGAAATCCCCTCTATCTGACGAGAAGAGGCAGGTAGAAAATAATCTTTCTTGTTGCATTTATTTAAATGATGGTCTCATGTGATTTATTTTTTTCTTTTGTGCCCTCCACTCCAATTTTTGCTCGTACAGATCTTCAATTGGAATATTTGTGTTGTTTTCCTTGTGAAAGAATGTTGTTGGAATCTATATTCTTGAGGTTCTTAGCACTATGAGTTGAAGTTCCTTGGTGATTTATGGTTGAATCTATAGTCTAATAAGACCTAATTTTGTGATATTAAATTTTGTTGAAGGAAAAATATGTTTATAGAAATTGTGCAATGCAGTCCTACTGAGACACATTTGATGTGTTTTGCTACGGTTGATGGTTTAGCTGTTTTCTGACCAAGTAACTTATAACTTGGGATTTTTAAAATTATTTCTCTATACTCCAGGATCTTTTGAGGCAGTTGCACTCCATGAATACTTTAAAGCTTGGCAGCTCTTCGCAGTCCTCGGCATTACCTCTCCAAATAGATGAATGTACAACTGATTCCACTTCCCTGATTGAAGAAAAATCATGCAATGGAACAGCAAATATTTTGGAACACAGAGACCAGTCTAAGGGAGAGAACACCACGAAACAATCAATTTTGGAGTTTTCTAGACGGAGAACTCCATTTTGGTGGTTTCGTACAATCACTTTGAAGTTTGGAAGCAGTTGCTTGGTTTTATCAAATGGAAGCATCTTTCTTGGTTTTTTGGTGTCACTTGTTTACTATATTGTGCGGAGAAAACAAGCCTCTCTATGGAGGTAATGTAGTCTTTCTGCCTAGATAAAGAAGAATTTACTCTTATTGTGATTTTCTTCATCTTATAGCTGTGGTAGACACATATTATTGTGTAAAATCTACCAAATTTTCTCATGACCCATGGGCAGTGTATAGGATATAGCGAATTAATGCACAGCTTGTCCATTGAAGGATATTTTTCCCTTATTAACTTAACATGCATAGTATTAGCACAGGATTTAGTGGACATATCAAATTCACTCCATTATCCTGAATCAACTGAAATTGATTCTTGATCTTTCATTTATTGTTTATGCTGGATCATAGTCAAATTCAACTTACTGTAAACAGTGGATGGAAATGCACATTATATTTGATTACTGCGGCTGTGTGGTACTTATGTGAAGCTGTGTATGAAGATGCATGCATATTTGAACCTAGACTTTTTAATAGAAAACATCCCTAAAGTTCAAGTACATCCTTAATGTATCTCAATTAACAAGAAACATTCTTGATGTATCAGAAAATAAACAACTTTGATCCAAAGTTAACTTTCCATCCAAACACTAACTGAAAAATAAATAAAAGATGCAATGCTCGTGATTTGCTTTTGAAACAGAAAAGATAGAATATGCCCTCTCCTCACAATTTGAGCAACTACTCTAGCTTCTTCCTCAAAATTCCATAAAAATATTAGAGAAGATTCACATGCTCAACTTTATTCAATCATTCAATTCTATCTCGATCAACCTTACAGATCTAAAAACTTGCTTCTTACGAGAATTCCCCAGTATAAAAATGTATTACTATCTATTAAATCACTTGAGCAATTTTTACTTGACTTTTCTGCAAAAATTGGCAGTACAAAGCTCAAAAAAGAAGAACTTATTTATGTTCATCTGTTTCAACTTAAACTCATTGGGAATTACTACTCTAGTAATGCTGCCAAATTATCAATAAACTTTGTCAGCTCTTTTCAAACTTCAATTTTCTGATACTCCTTTGTCTTCTTTTTTTTGTTTTGCCTAGAGAAATCTTCTACTGTAATAGTCCAGTTGACTGAAAGTTTTTAATAATGCTCGATGTTTTTTGCAAATTTTTGCACATTAATGTGATCTTCTTCCTGGAATCAAACTATATAACTAATCTGATAAGCATAAACTATCATGGAGAACTTTTAGCAGATGCAATCCCACACAAAAAATACACACATATGCACATATATAAGTGCCTTTTTGAAGCAAAAACATTTTTGGTTTTCAGAAAGCTTGATCAAATAGACTACTAGCTAGCTTCCAGTGACTTCATGTTTTTTTAGACTGTATACTGCTCGAAATTGTTATTGACCGTATGAGATAATAGGAAGACTTGAGAAGCATGGGCTTCTGCCCTTACTTTTTTGCTCAGATTTAGGTAAGAAGATAGAGCTACACTCAAATGGGTACGAAAGAACTTTCTATTTTCAGTTTCCATAGGTGAATCATGTGCTATGCATGTGTTTTTGATATTTCCGTTAGTTTTTGGATGAAAAGTTGACTCTGGACTAAATTTGTTCCTTCTTTTTATACATCAGGGATGTTTCTTGTTAATTGAGAAACATTAAGGATGTACATGAACTTTAGGACAAGTTTGGTTGGGAACAAGTTATCCCGGGATTAGTTATCCAACAATTGTTATCCGACCCTCAATGTGGGATAAAAACAACACTACAATCCCGGAATAACTAATCCCAGGACAAGTTATCCAACGACTTTATCCCAACCAAACATGGGATAAACTCATCCTAAAACTGATCCTGGGATTCGTTATCCCTTATCTCTCCTGCCAAACGAGCCCTTAGAGTATACTTTAGGGATGTTTTCCGTTAAAAATCTTTGGAACTAGCTTGTTCGGAAATGGAATCAGGTCTAGAAGTTATAAAGCATTGTTTACCATGTGAAATACGTCTATTAATCCATTGGGTTGGCTCTGTAATTCTAGCTTTTTGTATTGCACGTAATCATGAGAAACCTCTGCTGTTAAGGGCTTAAACTCTTGTTCTAGTTACATCAGTTAAGAGTCACCTGGTTTCATTGCCATATGCACATAGGTAGCAAGTAAACCTTATTCAAGCACATGATGCAACTGTGCCTCTCTGGCGGTGTTTCATGTTATACCTGAGGGTCTATGAGAATCTCATACCATAGTCAGAACTCACCTCTGTCTGTCTTTTAAGTTTACTATCATTCAAAAACTCTAATCAAATTGTAGAATGTTGTGGAGATGTTCAGTTGGGCATATTGTTTTTGTTGTATCGGTTCTTTCTGGCATATTTAAGTTTGCAAATGCTAGGTGATAGCATCCAAGGGAGCTCTACTCCATTGAAGGACAAGGATGAAGCTTTAGAAACCCCAAGGAGGTCCATAACAAGATCTCAAACCAAGGAGTTCAATGATAAGCTCAATGGGCTTCAATCGCTGATCCAAAGGTGTCTTATTGGGGAAGAAGAGCTCAAGCCCAAGGGAGAGGAATTGTCCAAATGCTACAATTATTTGGTGGCCCAAATTCAAGCCCAAGATGAGGATTTTTAAGGTCCAATTTCGTGCAAATAAGGTCAAGAAGAGTCCAAGAATCAGCCACAACAAGAGTTGCTTTCTGCCCAAGTTTTGAGAGAAGACTAGTCAAACTTTCCAAGATTGTCAAGATTCTTTTCCTAGTTGGGATTTACCTTATTTATTTATTTATATATAGGTTATTAATATTTTCCTTAGTCTATTTATGGTCTCCTAAGTACCATTTAATGCTTTCCTAGAAGTACTAAATTTGTTCCTAGTTAGGTTACTTTATTTCCTTTCTAGAGTAGGATTCCTTGTAATTGTCTTTCTAGGGTTCTTTGGACGTTTTCTTCCCTTCTCCTATATATAGGAGTCCTTTTCATTCATTAAAGACAATTTAGATTGATATTAATAATATTTGAGAGAGTTCTTTGAACCTTTGTGACTTGTTCTTTGAGAATTTATCTTTAAACCTTTACTAGTTTCATAGTTTAAGGTATAAAGTAATTTCTTCTTGTGATATCTTTGGTTTCTTTTTGGTATTCTTTAGAAGGTAATTAGTTTCTACATACTAATTATTGTCTTTAGTTACTCATAAAGCGGTCAAGATCCGAATCTATCGTTTTGATTCGTTTTCTCAAGTAAAGGCGTTAGATTTCTACCATAAATCTATACGTTGTTACTTGGATCTTTTCAAGGCCTTAGAACATCTAATTCTTGGAAATTCGTGGATCTTTCCTTCGAATCTCCCATATCTTTAGTTAGTTTTGTTGTTTCTTTTCTTGTGCTTCCGCATTCTAATATTCAATTCTCTATTTGTGATCTCCTTAACCTTGCTGTTATCACTAGGCTACTACATGCTTGGACCTGGCTTATGTTAGACATGAATTGTTTGTCAATTACGTGATATCTGGGACTATTGTCTCACTGACATTTTCCCCGTCATTTATTACAGTGTTGTTAAGAGCCAAGCTTCATCTACGAAGAAGGCTTTGGTTGACTTCTGGCAACTTGCATTCTCATATCAAGTGAACCCTCTTGCTGCTGTTCAATCACTCCCACCTGCAACACGTGGAAGCCGGTGATGCACAATTTTGTTCCTCATACCAGAGCTGTTACTTGTAGATAAATGAAAGATTACTGAGGATATTGCTATTATCATCTTAAGTTGGAGAGGAAATTGATTTTGATAATTGACAAAGATTGTTGGAAGAAGCAGGGTCCTTAATAATACTGTTGATTAGAGGCAGCTAGCATTGTTTGTATGGAAGTAGAAGTTCCTTTACAGTAAGGTCTCAATTTTTGAAAAAATCATGCAACTCCAACTCCACTTTTATTATCTCATGGTGTATGGACAAAATGATGGAGAAATTTTACTCTTGTGAATCTCATAACCAACATTACTTAATACTTATGTGAGGCAGTTTAAAACTCAATATTTTGTCATTACCTTATAATCTTTGTCAACCGTTACAAAATCTGAGGATTGAGACAATCTCTCCTTTTATTTATTTCTTCACTGCAAGCAGTACTCACATAATCTGTTTGTTTCTGTATATATACCAAGATATCAATGATGATTCACATTTCGGAGAACCCTACTTCCTTGCCCAAAAAAAGGTATGCTCAATTTTTCCCTTTCAATTAACTCGTCTTTCTTTTTCTTGGCATTGATTGTTCTACTTATATGCGTTTGAGAAATTGAATGAAAATGCTTTTGAGGAATTTGCATTGTTATGGGTTTAGTTTCTTTTATTTTTTATCATGGATTGTTCTGCTTCTTTTTTTTTTTAATCTCTCAAGATTTTTGTGAGTGTATCTGTTTGGTTGAATGAGGAATTCTGATGTTGTTGAATTTTTTAAAGCATTTACTGGTGTTTGAGAAATTCCATTCAAAGAAATTGAATGAAACTGATTTTTGAGAAATTTTCTTTGTTTTCTATTAAAGGATTTAAGGGGTGATTCTGTATTTTTTGTGGGTACATATTCTTGATAGAAAGGAATTCAGGCTTTTCTAATTTTTGTTTATTAGCAAGAAAATGAACGTTTTCTTCTTGGAGGTTACATTTGCATAATCACCTCTACTAGTTGATAGGCACGTCCATTAATGGCTACTTTTGCGTTGTGTGTGATCTTGTGCTTGAATATGAAATTGATGAAAACCTTTTACTTTGTTGAGTTTTGGAGTTTTCAAATTTCCAACAGAAGTTGCATAGATGGAGGATTCAGGCGAAGACAAAAGCAATGTGGTATGCATAAGTTCATGTTATCTGTTACTATTTCTCAAGCCTATAGTAAAATTTAAAAGTGTGATGACTGCCTGTTCTTGAGGAACTATTGTATTTCTAAGCTACATGCTTCAAGCGGTGATAAGACTACTAGGGTAAGAGAGAAGTAAAGGAAGATCCATTCAAAGAGATCTTAGAATTAGAAAGAAAGATTTCTTTACCTCATGTGAAGCCTAGAAGGATATGAAATATATTAACACAAGACAATATATTCACTTTGGTACTTGATGCCTCAAACCAAAGACATCTTTTTTATCCCTTTCTTTTCTCATTTCTCTCATCTTCTTTTTAGAGGATGTAAAGTTAGAAAGAAGGAAGAACGTGCTATAACTTTACACTTGTGCACGTTAGGAAATGACTAAAAGTCGTCTCTAACTTTATCTTCTTCTGAGAAACAAGAATTTGCTTTCGATCACTCTCCGATGATCTTGAGAACCTAATCAACCTTGAAATCCTCAACATTGGCAAAAAATTTCAGTACCTCTTAAAGTTTCCCTATTCAGTTGGATTTCTCATTTCTCTGCATGAACTATATGTTAGTTACAACAAGATTACTGAATTTCCAGATTCCATCGGATGCTTGAAGAAGCTATAGAAGCTGAGTGTAGAAGGCAACCGCCTTGTTTCTCCTCCACCGGAGGTAGTGGAGCAAGGGATACGTGCAGTTAAGCAATACTTGTGTGAAAAGATAAATGGAATGCATGGCAAGTCCCCTAAGATACCCTTTGACCTTTTTTTGTTTCTTGAAGTTTCGATCGGTGTTGCTACTTTAGCATGTTATTAATAGCTATGAGTGATTCGGTAATGCAGTGCATATCTAGGAAAGCAGTTGATATGAAATAGATAGATTCGAGTAGAAAGAAAAGATGATTAAAATGAACAGTTTAACTTGTATACACAAGTCGACTATTACACTCTGAGTGTAATTTTTTATATAAAGTTAAATAAGAACACGAGTTCACCTTTACAAAAGGATGAGATCATATACGTAGCTACTGAAGTACTGAATGAAGTCTGGGGTATTGTGAGTAATAATATTCTCATATGAGTAATGAATTCCTTCCACATGTGAATGGATTCCTATGTTGGGGATTGTAAACCTTAAAGGTAAGTTCTTGATGCTCACATGTCACACGAACTATTTGTTTTATGAATTTTGATTCCATGCATCCGAGATACAAGTATCTGGACTTGTCAGATACATGTATTCGGGGACCAAATCTGACATGAATGATAATTTTTAAAACTCCAAAAAAGGCAAGTATTAGGTCCTAAACTAATAAGATTTGTATTGTTTGCCTTTTTTTTTTATGGCCCATCCAAATATAAATGATCCTAAACACATAATGCCAGAAATGCCCTTTATGACCCAAACATGCACATTAGTGACCTCTTGTCTGCTTAGAATCATTCAATCGTATTAATAAGTAAAATGCATACCAACGAAGAGCATGTTAATATTTCATTGTTTGTTCAGGAAAAAATGTCAATATTTTTAAAATTTGAAACTAATTTAATTTAAACTTCATGTTTACCCTAGGAATAGGTTTTTATTGTCACATAAATATTATGAAATATTCAAAATCATAAATTTCAATGGGTTTACAATCACACGAATTTTATGACCTAGGATGATTTTCTTACTTAAACATCAACTTTTTTCTACCTCATCGAGAATGATCAATATTGTTTTCACTTTTCCTTTAGCTTAACTCAAATTCTCAACATATTTGATAATTGAGGTGCTCCACCTCTTAAGCAAGCCTCACATATCTTAAATTTCTAATCTATTATAACTTAGACACATAAATTAAAAAAATATTTTCCATCATATTTATCGCCATGTAAATATACAAATAAAATTTAAAGCGCTTCAAATAAGATGGTACTTCACAATCCACCTTGAAGATTTTTGTTATATTAGTCAAGTATTGTTATCCACAATCAAAACCTTTTATAATGAAAATGGATAATAATGATATGGTTCTTAAAAGATAAGAATCCACCGTTATCTTTGAAAAAATATTTTAATATATGCACAAAGAAAAGTAAACACACAATTGTGATGTAAAATTATTAAAAAACAGTCAAGAATGAGGGTGTAGATAAATAGGATAGGAAAGGACAGTACGGATAAATACGTACACTACAAGAAAAAAAATTTGATGATATGGATATAATATATAATTTAAGAAAATATCATAAATACATAATTTAAGATATCATAATTTTTAAAATTCTCTATCATTAAAAGAATGACAAAACCTCTCTCAGATACATCTCTATCTCTTCTGGAATACATCTCTCTCATTAAGTTATGTATCATTTGAATGGACATTCAAAGTGTGTATGCGAAAACAATAAAAAAATTCGCAATTTTTATAATTGAGGAAACTTTCAGGATAGTGTAAGTTTCTCAATTTATAATTTCCGTTCTTATTTAAGTTTCTTAGTTTTACTAAACATAAATTTTAAAAATAAATATATTTTATTGAAATTTTATAATTTTAAATTTGTCATAAAAATATTAAAAAATAAACACTCATCAAATATTTTTAAATAATATGATACTCTTTATGAAACAAAATTCAACACATTAAAAGTAAAACAAAAAAAGGACGCCGTATTTGACATTAACTACTCTTTTAAAGTCAAACCTTTTTTTTAATGTGCAAAGAAAATCGTGCCCGTGATTATCGGTCAAATATTGTTATATTTTAATTTAATTGATAAAAGTAAGTAAATCTAGTAGTAGTTGGGAAGCTTTATCAAATGATGGAACTTGTCTGTATTTAATATTTTTCCAAAAAAAGAGGTAAATAATTATTTCCTTCATTTGATTTAATATGTTAAAATAATTTTTCTAATCATATAAAGTAATGAAGAATTATACATGTTGGCCAATTGAATTAAAATATGTTGCTTGCTTCCCTCCCTTTTGGGTTCCTTCCCTATTTTAAATATTAGTTATTGTTATAAGCTAAAGTTAAAAGTAGAAATTAGAAGAAAAAAAACAAAAAAAATAGACAACTTATATAGAGAGCAAGATAGAACTTTTTTTCAAGTATATTTAAGTGTTTTTAGTATCACATCTCATGTCTCTATTTATACTATTACATAGATGATAGAGGTAAAACCGTAAAAGAAATGTCTTAAATAAGACAATACTCATTGATATCATGGGAAAAGATCGTGAGTGAGGTTCTGGATGTTAGTATGTTACGATATATTGTTAACTATGCCTTTTGATATAGTATTAGTTATTCAATAATGGACCGTTTGATTACTGGATAAGGGCAAAGTTAATACATGAATAATTTAGTTATTCATGTATTAATTTTATACCATGTTTGGTTTGTAAATAAAAAAATCAAAATTATTCATGTATAAATTTTATACAATGTTTGGTTGGTGTGTCTCCAAATGTTGTATAAAAGTTATTCACGTATTGATTTATGTGGTGTTTGGTTGCATTTTTGTAATTCTACATAGCTAATACTCACATAACTTATGAGGAAATCTATGTATAATTTTATGCAAGGTAGAAGGTGGAATAAGTTATGAGGGTATTAGTTATACATGGATTAAAATAATAAACTTACATATTTACCCTTAATTTGTTTACTTAATTATTTATTTGTAAATAATAATGTATATTAATATTAATTCACAAGATTAAGGAGTCATTTTTTTTTTTTAAAAGGACGCCCCTAACTCAATTTTTTTTAGTTTCGTGATTGCCTCCCCCCTCCACCCACGCACCCTAAACAATCAATAAGTAATAATATATATATATATTATAATTTCTACATAACTTAATCCTACATAAATAATACATGCATAACTAATATTTGCATAATTAATACCTACATAATCAATACATGCATAACTAATACCTGCATAACTCTAACCAGTAACCAAACGGTCCCTAATTGTTTTATTTATTTAATCAATTCAATAAAATGTTACATTAAATAGATTATGATATATATGTCCTCAAGTGATAAAGTATATGATTTACAATATAGAGTTTAAACTTATATACATAAGATTAAATTAACGATTCTTATAAGCTAAGTACTAAAAGATTATCTATTATGCAATACCAACAATTGCTTACCAAAATATTAGGGAGGATCAACTATTGGACCATTAAATTTCTATTCTATGCAGGAAGATAGTTGTTTGATCAGTACTGTGTTGTTCTCAATTCAAGTTTTATTGATCTCAAATTTTTGTTCAACCAACAAAAGTCATAAAACTTGTCCATATGTCATGTCTATTTTTATTCTATACAACAATAATATGGTAAAACTAAGTAATTTTATATTCTGATATCATAATCTTTAGCACTTTTTGTAATAAAATTTTTATGTTTTAAGGTTCAAATTTGAAATCTCTTATAAGGTAACAATATTCTTGCCATTCTATACTATACAACTCGTTGGTCATTGTATTATCATATCACGATTCATAAAGCAAGTATTATTATTTAGTTCCACAACAATTTGTGTAATCAGTGTATTGAAAATTTTAATACCTTAATTAGTTGACTATTTAAATTTTTATTTTATTGATGAATTTAATTCTCCATCTTATAATCCTCATTGTCTGCTACCCCTAACATTTAAAAAGAGAAATAGAAATAAAAGAGAAATGTAATAGATGGATCAAACAATTCCTTAAATCAACATGTGCAGCATGTCTCCTTAACAAATTAAAAAACAATCAATAGTAGTACTTTAATTGTAACCATGAAATGAGAATTTAAGTACGTGTTTGAACGTGCAATTTTATCTTGTGATTTAAAACTATGAGATGAAATTAGTATTTATACAAGTGATTTCATCTCAGGGTGAAATTTCAAATTTTTCAAAAAGCTTATTTGAGAATTTCATATTTTTTAAATATAAAAATTAGTCCACAAATTTATATTTTGTAAAAAAATACCCATCATTTTATATTTACTGATCGTTTATTTCACAGGTAAACAAAATTTATAATTAGTATGATTACCCTTACAAGTTACAAGCCTTTAAATCACCATTAATGAACATGAGTTCAATAAAAAAAAAGTGTTGTGTAGTATAATTCATGTTCAATATTTACTTTTTAATTAAAATATTGATAAAAAAATCTTGCAATTTTGATAGTTCATAGCTTATGCAGTTTTTATGTTTACGAGCAAGAAAATACAATTTAAAAATTCAAATTACATGTTCAAACAAAACTTTAATTTTCTCTCATAATTTCATATAATTTCAACTCACATGACCAAACATGTTCTTAATGTCATTTGATTGACTATATAGACATTCATCAAAACCTCGATGAGAGTTCAATTTCCACCTTGAATTTCTTGCTCGTTTCTCTTTTTTTTCTACCCTCACTTTTAGTATAACTAAAAACAAAATTAAAAATTGTTCCCTCGAAATTTAGTTCTAAGCATATAATGTCTATACAAAAACGCTTTGTTTATAAAATGATCATGTCTCTTAGCCGTTCTTTTTCCTTAAAAAAAAAACAAAAAAAAGTCAATGCTTTTTTAAAATGACAAAAAAGAAGAAAAGTCGTATCACATAATCCTTTTATTTTGGAAAATTATAAAATAATAAATAAATATTGTATAAACGACAGAATTTGATTCTTTTCCTAAAATAACTTGTATGACATAAAATCCAAGTCATCATTCATATATATAAAAAATAAAATACTATCCCATTTTTTCTCCTCTCCATTCCCTATAAGTGTTTGTGTCACCACACACAAGTAACGACCCCTCAATTTGTCAATAAACAAATAATAGGATTAGTTAATTAACAAAGGAAGAAGAAGATTATGGAATTTCAATGATGATTTGTGTTAGGATTAAGAGATCATGAAGATGAGGATGGAATTAGTTGAACCACGACGACAACAACAACGACAAGAAGAAAAAGGAGCCTTTGAGAGGAAGAGTAGTAGGGGAAAAAGTACAAGAAGAAAGATGACAATTAGTATTGTTGAAGAAGAAGAAGAAGAGAGCCCAAAGATTGTGGATCTAAGTGGCATGTCATTAGACTCTCTTCCTGTAAATCCTACTATCAATTTGGGAGCTATATCCAAATTACATATTTCCAACAATAATCTTCAGGTTGGTCAGCTTTCGTACACCTCAATTAATTTTTGTGAAATATCTGTTATCTTCTATCAGCAATAAGCAATATGTACTAGATGACTCTGTTCATAGAGGTTAGGATAGATGAATAGATTCACTTAGTGTTTTTTTTTTGTCTTCGCTAGAATTAATTGAACAACCACTTCGTTGATCACTATATGCTATCATGAATTATTTATTTATGAGAATTTTATTCATGATGGAATATTTTTAATCTTTGATTGGAAATTAAGTGAAAAATATCTTTTTTTGAAATAAGTGGTGGCTAAAGTATTTGATATGAAGATAAGATAATTATGAAGAAAAATGTTTTAGTCAAAACCGAGTGAAGTTATTTTCCTCATTTTGACCGGAGGCGAACTAGTTGATTGCTTTGAATTGTATCAGTAGCACAAGGACACTATTAAAAACACTATTGCATTTCATAAATGTACGATTAATTATATATTAGTTTATGTCGATATTAATAGGTGGACGTGCACTACCTATATAGGTGGATCTGCCTCTAATATAATTTTGACCAAAGAATATTTTTCTAAAAATATTTTCTGACAAGCACTCACGACTAGTATTTTGGAAAACATTAATTTTTCAATCATACCAAATACAGTCGTTGCTTCCATTTTTAGTTGCTTTTGGTTCCTTGTACTTTCACAAATATTTAGTTTTGTTTAATTTCTTCCATATTTATGGAAAGAAATATATTTATCATTTACCTTTCTTCTATTTTACGCAACAATAGTTATTATATGTTTCCTAGTTTTCAATTTGTTTATTCAGTGTTGAGTTGATATTGAGTTTCAAAAGGTGGATAATTTTTTTATTGTTATAGTCTTAAACTAAAAATATGTAAAATGTATCAAAATATTTTTTAATTTTGTGGTTTTAAACATGTCTTGTGGAAAGTTAGAATTAAAGAGGTGTCAAAATAAGAATTTAATGTACTACTATATTTTCTTAAAATATTCCCCTTTACTTGATAATGAGTCGTTTATGTGAACTATACCGTATAATATTTTCAGGAATAAAAGGCAGTACTATTTTATTCTGTGTTTAATACAAAACAAACAATATAAATTTTAACGGATCAAATTAAATCCAAATCAACCGTCCTAACGTCATATTTTGTCGTTCATCATTATTTTAAATTGACCCAATAGTAAGGATAAAGTCTATTAGTTTATTTTTTACTTCATTGATACATTTTAAAAAATATATATATAACAACTTGATAGGTTTTCTAATTATTCGTATTAAACGCAATAGTATATTTTTCTGGTTGTTATATGTATGTGTGGATTGTGGATTTACTTAAATATAATTGACAAAATTTCACAAAACACGATAGTACATAACGTAACAACATTTTCGTTAATTATATATCCCGTCTTTGTTTAAAGTCTAATACAATGTATATATCTCTTATTGTGTTTTACAATGTGTATGTGTCTCACTCATCTCTCTTCTTCTATGTATTTGTATTTTATAATGTATATGTGTCTCACAATTTCAATTATAAGTACCATACAAATATCTGATACACAAATACATCGACGGTTTATATTTTTTTTTTATATCAATGTATCTATTTCATACATGTATCGATTTTAAGTAGCATGAATTGTATCATAGATTAACACTTTATCATTTTACTCTCTCTGTCCAACAATAGTAGTCCACTATTGACTTGGCATACCCCTTAAGAAAGAATAAATAATAGGGGTAATATTACTATATTATCTTTTGACTTTATTAAATTTAATGTTTTGAGAAATGTGTTAGATGATAAATAGTATTTAACAGTAAGGGTAAAATAGATCTCTTGATTTTCTTAATTGGACAAGTATTATTGAACAACTATTTTTAGTAGGAAAAATGACAAATATACCCTCGAACTATCGTAAATGGTTTGGAGATACCCTTCGTCATACTTTTGGGACATTGGTGCCCTGTCGTCCAAAAAGTAGAGCATATATACCTTTCATACTAACGGACATACACGTGTCACAATCTTATCCACTGACCCACATTTATTAAATATCGAATCGACAGATAAGATTGCGCCACGTATCCCTATTTAGTCTTCCGTTAGAGTGAAGGGCATATATGCTCTAGTTTTTGGATGAAGGGGCACCAATGTCCCAAAAGTATGACGGATGATATCTGCATACCATTTACGATAGTTCGGGGTATATTTATCCTTTTTCCCTTTTTAGTATAGTGGACAACACTATTGTTGGACAGAGGAAGTACTAGACACAATGATTTTAGGGTAAGTCACATTCTTATTTGGTTGGACGATTTTCAATTATCATGTATCACTTGTGTATATAAATACACAAACACACATCTGTATCTCTTCAAAGTTCCACTCATCTGCCATAGATACATAAATACATTGATACACATATATATCTCGTCAAAGCTAAGCACTCAATTATATTATATCATGGATGCACATTTACATATATACACAAATACACATATATATATCTCTTAAAAATATTCCACTCGTCTTTCATGGATACACAAATACACATTCATAGATACGCAATACACATATATATCTCCTCAAAACTACTCACTCATTTGCAATAGATGCACAAAAATATAGATACACATATACACAAATATACATATGTATCTCTTCAAAGTTGCACTCTAATTTGCCATAGATGCACCAATACATATAGTCCCTCTGTAAAGCGAGAGAGGGGGAGAGGGAGGAGAGTGGCGAATTTGCTACGAAAAAGGGAAATCTCATTGAGTTATGTAATTTTTTAAAACTATAAATAGGTTGAGTAGATATATATACTAGCTATGCTTGATTAATTATGTAATTTTTCATGTATAATTCTCACTTCATTGTTTTTGTTGTATGTTTGACAGAGTATACCAGAGTCTTTAACAGCAAGACTACTTAACTTGGTTGAGTTAGATATGCATTCCAATCAGCTCAACTCCATTCCCAACTCTATAGGTTGCTTATCAAAGCTCAAACTTCTCAACATTTCTGGGAATCTCCTTCTTTCGCTCCCTAAAACTATCGAGAATTGCAGGTTAGTCATCTAAACATTTCTAATTCATAACATTATCACTACAACAAAAGAGATATTTAGTAGCAATTGAATTACTGTCATTGCATTCAGAGTCGCTAAAGCCTTTAGAACATAAGTATAACCTTTTCTTCCTACTTGCAGATCATTGGAAGAGTTGAATGCCAACTTCAATATGCTTACTCATTTACCGGACACCATTGGATTTGAGCTCATAAATCTCAAGAAGTTATGCATAAATTCAAATAAAATAGCATACCTTCCTTACTCCACCTCCCACTTGACCAATCTTCGCGTGTTGGATGCTAGGCTAAACTGCCTTAGATCACTCCCCGATGATCTTGAGAACCTAATCAACCTTGAAATCCTTAACGTTAGTCAAAATTTCCAGTACCTCTCAAAGTTGCCCTATTCAGTAGGATTTCTCATTTCTCTTCATGAACTAGATGTTAGTTACAACAAGATTACTGAATTACCAGATTCCATTGGATGCTTGAAGAAGCTCCAGAAGCTGAGTGTAGAAGGCAACCGCCTTGTTTCTCCCCCACCGGAGGTAGTGGAGCAAGGGATACGTGCAGTTAAGCAATACTTATGTGAAAAGATAAATGGCATGCATGACAAGTCCCCTAAGAAGAAGTCATGGTTTGGAAAACTAGCAAGATGTAGCACATTTAGTGGTGCTAACATACCAAGAGATGATAGAGAGGACTTTGGTGTTCCAAGCAATCGAACTATCGATGTAATTGCCTCACCGCGATTTATGGGAATGCTTTCTCCTCGTCGTCTTCTATCTCCAAAAACCTACTTCTCCAAATAAGGGACATTGCAATTTGCTTGGATATCATATTGTGGTAGCTCTTAGCTTGTTTTCTTTTACGTTTGAAATCGTGCAATGTGTGCTAGATCAAGCTGTACATTATGTTCTGTAGATTTTGTTGTCTTTGAGATTGTACAGATTTTCATAGATGATTAGCCTCATGAGTCATGGGTATGTTTGAGAGGTAGAGGTACAAATTTACCCGAACAGGGTGTTTATATCAAATCATATGAATAATTACATCGAATCAAAATTTGTTATCGTAACAATATCACTTGTACAAAAACTCATTTTGTTCATTAATTATCAAAACTCAAAAAAAAATTATCTTACATAAACAGAACCATTAAAAAAACCCCAAAAAAACAGAACATGACTCTTAGAAAGCAAACAGAACAAATGAAAAACTTGCCAGAATCACAAATTATGAATTAGTTTCTTGCACTTGCGATTCATTTCTTTGCAAATCCGATTCACTTCTCCTGTTAAACGACCATTCTCTAATGGTAGACAAAACTGGCTTCCATGCTCGCGATTTATTTGATCTTTCTCCAAATTTGCACGAAGTTGTGTTAGTTGCACCACTTTTAGCTATGCAACTGAGTTTTCTAGCTATTGGAACTAAATCCATTGGAGAAACACTTGATTGAAATAAGGATTTAGGCAATAAATAGTAAATATGGCCTTGTTCTAACTTAGTATCAGGGTTGAGAGGCTTTGAAGCAGCAGATAAAAGTTGGGCATGAGTGAAGACAAAGTGTTTTTGAGATTTGGCCATGAGTTCATGTACACTAATAGGATGATCAAAATCCTCTACATGACCATTTAAATGTACAACTCTAATAGTCTTTAATATATCACAAGATTTGGGAGAAAAACAACAATATGTTATTTTGATGTACATATTGTTAATTTTTTCCTTATTTCTCTCTAGCTAGTGTGTAAAAGGGCTCCAAAGAAGATGTCCTTTTATACAAGGGGAAAGATGGTGTTGAAACCAGGTTGTGGTGCGGTAGTGGAATTGCTCCACCCTTAATCAAAGATCTCAGTTTCGAGCTCTGGGTATGAAGAAAATCCTATTGGGAGTGCTATCCTCGGATGGGTCTTGCAGTGTGCAAATACAGATTTAATCTAAGCTCCAATGCAGACTCCGAATATTGAGTGGAAAATCAAAAAAATGGTGGTGGGGAAGAGTTGTGGAGATAGATGATGAGAACACGCTATTTAAGTTAGAAATTTTTTTTATTTGCTTCAAGGCTTATGTGACGCTTCCAATAGGATTTTCTTCATATTCAAGGTTCAAAACTGAAACTTCTGATTAAAGATGGAGAAGTCTCATCACTGCACCATATTATGTTGGTAGCTAAATATTATTATTAACTTCAATATATAATATTTTTCATTAACCATACACTATTTTTTTGAAGAAAAATACATGGCGTAGTCTTGGGGGTTGACGGAGTCTAGAGAAAATATACAAAAATGCAATCATTATCGTGATAGTCAATATTGGGACGCCACTTCATATGTCGCTTTAGGATTTAAGTAATATATTATAGGTATATATTGATTTTTTATACTAACGGTGGATAATAATTTATAATATAACATACTCCGCTAATTTCAATTTATGTGAAATATTTGATTGAATATGAAATTTAACAAAAAAAAATAATGAATGTTCAAACTCATGATCTACTAAAATTCATAGATATTTATGTTGCAAAAAATTATCTCATTGAAGTTGCTTAAAAAGTGGTAGTCACCCATCGTATGTTCTTAGGACTATGACATTTATATCACTCCAAGCTTTGGAAAATAGGTCTCCCCTTGACTAGTAAAAAGGAGAAAAGAAAATGTGATATTTTATTTGGGAACACGTAGTTGAAACTTGGAAGGTCCAAAACCAAAAATTAGGATAGAATGTTAGGTAGCAATTCACCAATATGTGATAAGAGGTTGAAAGACCTTGACTCTCTAGAGGAAGACTTGACTAAAAACAACCATTTGGTAGAGTGTATTGGAGAAAATAATAATTGTATTAGTTTGATGTATTATTGATATCGTGTTTGGTACATTTTTTTAATCTATGCCTAACTAATGCTTGTATTAGTAATACACTCTATTGTGTATTGAAGAGTGTATTACTATTCCACAGATTTCTATGCATTAGTAATGCAATGGGTTCTAATGCATGCATTAGCATTGTTAAAGACATAATTGTCCCACAAAAATCTTCACTATATATGTGGAGGGTATTTTTGTAAATAATTTTTTTTAATGCAATTCATGTTATTTTTAGTACATCAAACCAAACATTGCATAAAAAAAATCTCAAGCATAACTAATGCAAGCATAACTAATACAATCATAACTAATGCAAACATTACTAACATACTATAATTTGCATTATTTTTATACACTCTACCAAACGACCCTTTAGACTTCTTCAATAAATCCTGGAATAAGACAATAATTTCATGATTGTGATGAATTAATAATAAAAATACAAGGAAACAAAATATAGAGAAAGACATTGGGGGGAGAGATTTTATTTCTCTTGAAATTGATATTCTAATGAACAAATTTATTTTTTCTTATATATTGAAGAAAAAAAGTTGTTATAATATTGAGCCCGTAATTCGTATAAGGAACAAATATATTTTATATGTTCCTTCATAAGTTACTGGCATTGTGTTAAGTAAAGCACATGCAGTAATAACACAATATTATAACGTGGAAAATCCTGGTTCATAATAGGTAAAATATCACGATCTGCACATTTGTAAGATTTAACACAACTTCAATAAATTCTAAGCTAACGATTTTATATTACAATACATGCATGCAATCCTATGAACTAACTCTAATTCCTATGAATCAACAATCACTATGAGTCTTCAAGTTGCCCCAACTGGAAGAATAACTTAAGCTATGAAAAAAAAAAGATTACAACTCGATAATTAATGATCTTGGACATATTTATATGCCTAAGAGGCAAATAACACCCATACTTTAGCCAAGTTTAAGGACAAATTCCCATTTTATTGATAGTGTTCGAGTCATGTTAGTGCATTATGATAAACCAATGTGATTAGTGATTGTAGGTTGGGAAACAGAGAAAAAGACACAAAAGTGAAAGCACATGAAGTGGAGTTGAATCCGATCACAAAGCACAAAGGACAAAAGGTCAAAGGATAAAAGGAATTTCAAAGTGAGAAAAACTCTAGCTTGGTATCCCCTCCACGTCGCATAGAGGGAATTTATTATTTCACACTCGATGACTGCTGAGACAAAAAAACACGTATGCTTTCTGCGTCACGGAGAGGAAGAGTTCAGGAAATTGTGAAAAAGCAATGCACCTCCGCGTCGTGGAGGTGGAGCTCAGATTTATGCCAACTTTTTCCAAATTATAAATAGACTTGGATTTTATTGTTTCAAATATTCTCTTTTTTTGGCTTTTGGAAAACGACGACTTGGAGAACTTTACTTCAAATTTAGGGTTCATTCATACTCTTTACTTTTATCGATTTATCTTATGATTATTAAATACTTGAAGATTGAAAATCACATTATGAGTAGCTAAATTCCCTAGGATTATGGCTACAAGATATGATTGTGTATTATTGAACTTTAGGGATTGAAGTTGGTTATCACATAAATTACTCTTTTGTTCTTGATTTGGTATTTCATAATTGGCCACCATTGAAATAAACTTATTGGCCAAATTGAACTCGGGAGAGGGATAGGAGGATAGAATGTGGGACAAAAGAAGCATGATCTTCTTTAGAAACTAGGGTTGATTTGTATATAGAATAGGATATACCTAGAGACTTTGCTTGATTATAAAACTAGATGAAAATGTAATGCTCGGCAATTGGTTCATTCTATCCCAGCTCAACGATGTAGTTAGACTATCAATTGCGGTAGACAATTAGAGGTAGGGACATCATGATCATACATTTAACCCTGTAAATCAGTGATTTGCCAACCAATTAAAGTTCATAAAAGAATATATTATGCTTGAAATCAAAGGATATAATTATATTTGTTTATATATTGTATTCATTAATATAAATTGTATTCATTGATACAAAGTGAATATACAGAATATATATATA